TAAAAAAAAAAAAAAGAGACATACCTGCCTGAAAAATGTCAACAGTGGCAGAAAGCATCAGCACAGAACATTGTATCCCAGCAGCTAATGTCCCTTAGCCCAACTCCATCGACTAAAGGTAATCTCCAATGCACGAATACTGCCAGTCCCTTGTGCCTCCCCTGCTGGGACTTCATGCTGATCCATGCATACTGCTGTGTAGATGACACTAATGTGAAAGAAGTGTCTAACAGCTTGTTGGCATATCTGTCATCACAATCATATATTTGGATGAATACAAAATAACAGTAGAGACTGAAAATGCTTGCAATCATAAATTTGCTTTCATCCCCTAAGCCTGGCTGGAAGGGAAGCCAAGGAGAACGAGGGAAAGGTATTGCATGTTTCTATCACGTTTCTTCCAATGTACACTTAATCCAAGCTCGTGGGGCAAGCAACTATGTTCCTGCTTTTAGAACTATCGCTGGAAGCAAAGCTACTAGTAACTAGAAATACTCTTCTTACCAAGTCTCTCTCTTGCCATAAATGTGATTCATACGGGAGGGTAGAAATGCCATGCACATAGCCTGAGACTGCATTTCCCAGATAAAATGAAATTATATGGGCCAAGCACTCCCTGTCCAGTGATCAAAGATTCGGATTTATTCCAAAATCTGATTAATATGCAACTGCAACCCGATGGTAGTACATTCATGAATAAATAAGCCCTATCACACATTTAGACACTCCTTGTGCACTGTACTCTGTTATGGTGCCCAAACACTTCCCCGTCCAGCTCCCAGTGCCGAAAAATTGATGGCCCATTCACACTAGCCTGCCTTCTAAAATGCTGCTTTTTAGTGGATGGAGTAGTGCGTTGTGGCACACTGCTGTTTAAATTTTTTTAAACTTTATGTGAAGTGTACAATCTATACGCTCCATTCCAGTCCCCGCACAGCGACACAATGAGCTGCACTGTCGTGTGGTGACCTGTGGTAGCATCCAGTTCACTGTCATAAAACACAGCATTTTATCGCAGCCCCCGTCGCACTAATGTTGCGGTGTGCATGGGGCACAAAGAAGACAACTGTCTGTGTGTCCTTGCAGTGACCTGCATTGATCAGGCATTGTCTATGTGTCTTTGATGTGACCTGCATTGATCAGGCATTGTCTATGTGTCTTTGATGTGACCTGCATTGATCAGGCGTTGTCTATGTGTCTTTGATGTGACCTGCATTGATCAGGCGTTGTCTATGTGTCTTTGATGTGACCTGCATTGATCAGGCGTTGTCTATGTGTCTTTGATGTGACCTGCATTGATCAGGCGTTGTCTATGTGTCTTTGATGTGACCTGCATTGATCAGGCGTTGTCTATGTGTCTTTGATGTGACCTGCATTGATCAGGCGTTGTCTATGTGTCTTTGATGTGACCTGCATTGATCAGGCGTTGTCTATGTGTCTTTGATGTGACCTGCATTGATCAGGCGTTGTCTATGTGTCTTTGATGTGACCTGCATTGATCAGGCGTTGTCTATGTGTCTTTGATGTGACCTGCATTGATCAGGCGTTGTCTATGTGTCTTTGATGTGACCTGCATTGATCAGGCGTTGTCTATGTGTCTTTGATGTGACCTGCATTGATCAGGCGTTGTCTATGTGTCTTTGATGTGACCTGCATTGATCAGGCGTTGTCTATGTGTCTTTGATGTGACCTGCATTGATCAGGCGTTGTCTATGTGTCTTTGATGTGACCTGCATTGATCAGGCGTTGTCTATGTGTCTTTGATGTGACCTGCATTGATCAGGCGTTGTCTATGTGTCTTTGATGTGACCTGCATTGATCAGGCGTTGTCTATGTGTCTTTGATGTGACCTGCATTGATCAGGCGTTGTCTATGTGTCTTTGATGTGACCTGCATTGATCAGGCGTTGTCTATGTGTCTTTGATGTGACCTGCATTGATCAGGCGTTGTCTATGTGTCTTTGATGTGACCTGCATTGATCAGGCGTTGTCTATGTGTCTTTGATGTGACCTGCATTGATCAGGCGTTGTCTATGTGTCTTTGATGTGACCTGCATTGATCAGGCGTTGTCTATGTGTCTTTGATGTGACCTGCATTGATCAGGCGTTGTCTATGTGTCTTTGATGTGACCTGCATTGATCAGGCGTTGTCTATGTGTCTTTGATGTGACCTGCATTGATCAGGCGTTGTCTATGTGTCTTTGATGTGACCTGCATTGATCAGGCGTTGTCTATGTGTCTTTGATGTGACCTGCATTGATCAGGCGTTGTCTATGTGTCTTTGATGTGACCTGCATTGATCAGGCGTTGTCTATGTGTCTTTGATGTGACCTGCATTGATCAGGCGTTGTCTATGTGTCTTTGATGTGACCTGCATTGATCAGGCGTTGTCTATGTGTCTTTGATGTGACCTGCATTGATCAGGCGTTGTCTATGTGTCTTTGATGTGACCTGCATTGATCAGGCGTTGTCTATGTGTCTTTGATGTGACCTGCATTGATCAGGCGTTGTCTATGTGTCTTTGATGTGACCTGCATTGATCAGGCGTTGTCTATGTGTCTTTGATGTGACCTGCATTGATCAGGCGTTGTCTATGTGTCTTTGATGTGACCTGCATTGATCAGGCGTTGTCTATGTGTCTTTGATGTGACCTGCATTGATCAGGCGTTGTCTATGTGTCTTTGATGTGACCTGCATTGATCAGGCGTTGTCTATGTGTCTTTGATGTGACCTGCATTGATCAGGCGTTGTCTATGTGTCTTTGATGTGACCTGCATTGATCAGGCGTTGTCTATGTGTCTTTGATGTGACCTGCATTGATCAGGCGTTGTCTATGTGTCTTTGATGTGACCTGCATTGATCAGGCGTTGTCTATGTGTCTTTGATGTGACCTGCATTGATCAGGCGTTGTCTATGTGTCTTTGATGTGACCTGCATTGATCAGGCGTTGTCTATGTGTCTTTGATGTGACCTGCATTGATCAGGCGTTGTCTATGTGTCTTTGATGTGACCTGCATTGATCAGGCGTTGTCTATGTGTCTTTGATGTGACCTGCATTGATCAGGCGTTGTCTATGTGTCTTTGATGTGACCTGCATTGATCAGGCGTTGTCTATGTGTCTTTGATGTGACCTGCATTGATCAGGCGTTGTCTATGTGTCTTTGATGTGACCTGCATTGATCAGGCGTTGTCTATGTGTCTTTGTGGTGACCTGCATTGATCAGGAATTGTCTACGTGTCCTTGCGGTGACCTATGTTGATTAGGAATTGTCTTTGCGGTGACCTGCGTTGATCAGGAATTTCGATTAGTTGCCCTTGTTCGCGGCTCCACAAATGTCGTGCGCCGCACCCCGCACCTCCTCCCACTCACCGCTGCCAGATCTCAATACAAACTAGTAGTCCATCACTGGAGCCATTTTTTTTTAAAATCCAATAATCGAACGTAATAAATCGGCGAACTAATCGATTTTTAAAATAATCGTTAGCTGCAGCCCTAATGTGCTGCTATTCAGAGCAGACAGGAGGCTGATGCCAAGACAAACCAAAGGAGATCTAAACCCTAACTGGCTGACATTTAGTCTGCTAAAGCACTGTGGATCATAATCAATTGCCATTTTTTTTTTGAAAAATATTGTTTCCACCTTTATGCATTATGGGGCACATTACTCCAACCCCGCCATTCGCCTGTAGGGCTATGACTATATTTTTTAGAGAGTTTCTTGCTAGTTATGGCTGCTCTCACACTGCAAGGGTTAAGTGCTTATGTTGTTTAGGGGAATGAAAAAAAATCTATTTTACTTACCTGATCTTCGGTCAGCACTTGCTTCTTCCCACCCACCCCGGATATGGATTGTCCCTCGCCATCCTCAAATCTGATGAGTCAATAGATCTGCATAAGATGTGATGATGTCAGCGGTTCTTAGACCACCAGAGATCAGGAGGGGTAAAGAGGCTGTGGGGACAAGTCTAGCAGCCTGGAGGGAGGCAGCAGGAATGAGGATCAGGTGAGAAAACAGCTTGAATAGTCAAAGAGAGAACTTTGGGGTAAGTGTTTTTCCCCATAGTTGTTTAGGGTCACGGGAGGACATATACTAGCGTCCTCCCGTGACCCAAAGCTCAGTATATCACGGGCTATTGCTCGCGGTATACTAAGAGAGTCGCAGCCAGGGCGGATCTCGACAATATTGTCTGGATCCACCCAGCTGCGTGAGTGACAGGTGGCTCTGCCTATCTAGAGGCAGAGCCAGCTGTACCTGCCCCCTCCCCCGACCGTTCCTCCAGTCAGCGCTGGAGGATCAGAGAAGGGAGGAATCCCTGCGGGGAGCCGTGACTGACAGTCATCACTCACTGCAGGGAGACGGTCGGAAAGTGAGCGGATCAGCGGCATGTTTCTGCTCAATTCCCGATCTATAGAGCCGACCTGTGACAGCTTCTTTGTCATAGGTCTGCTCTAACTACGAGGATGAGTGGAAGTCACTCACCTCATAGTTCTCCTTTAAGCCTTGCAATGTGGGGTAGTCAGTTTTCTGCCTGGAGTTCTTTTTCAAACAATGTCAAAAAGAAGCACTGAAACCCTTGCAGTGGGGCTATTCCTGCACTGCAAGGGTAAACTGCTCGTTTTTGTCGCGCTGGGACGTGTAGTGTGGGAGAATTACCTTGCTGATCTCCCCCAGGAACAGTTGTTTGGCGTAGGCCAGACGCCGGGGGTCGCTGTGGAAAAGTCTCCGTTGTGTGACCGACCGCACCTGTACCGGGGCCCCCCATACCCGGGCTATCCGTCCAAACCGGACGCAAAGTCTGTGCACTCCGCTCATGTCAATGTCAGCTCGCTCACCGAACTCCTCACAGCAACTATAGAGCCGGCTACGTCATCGGCAGGCGCCGGGGAGTCAAGTGACGCCGGCTAATCTGCCGAAAGTGGGTGAAAGGTGAGAGCTGTAATGTCTGCCCGTGTTCCTGGATTATCCCGACTTTTCCACGCTGTACTCATGATGAGCTAGGTCTACTTAAATCAGAACTCTAGGGAAAGATAAAAAATAGTCATTTGTTCCTATAATCTGTGTCTATTCACAGTATGGTCCTTTAAATTAGTCTTAGTTTGTTTTTTTTTCAAATCAACTGACCTTCCTGTTTATCTGCCTCAATTCTGTTTTTTATGCAAATGGCTGTTCCTTCTAGCGTAGTTGGTACCCGGATTCTGCGCTTCTTAATTGGGCATTCAAAATGGGCATGGAAGGCGTCTCCTCGCTTGCACATGCAATGTTGTCAGCACCTGGAAGCTGTGGTGATTATGTATGCTGTGCGTGGGTGATGCGTTCTCCAGTGCGCTGGCGCTGTCATCGTTAGGCTCCATTCACACATTAGCGGTTGCGCACAAACACGCTTAACATATAAAGTAATACATTCCAATGTATGCTGTTCACACTTGGTACGGAAACAAGCGTCGCGCAAAAAAGTCCAACCGCGATATTCTGGTCGGATATGTTAAAATTTACCTACCGCCCATATGTTAACATTTACTAGGAATTGATGGTGGAGTTATCAAAGCTCAAAGTAGAACTATGGCCTACCATAAAAAAAATACTTCTGAAGCACTTGAAGAGGAACTTCACCCTTATCTTTAAAATGACAACAAACGTACCTTTAGAAATGTTTAGTAATAACAATCTACAAACACTTACTTATAGATAATTGCCGGCTTTTTATTCTTTGCATACTTTATTTTTTTTTCCTCCCCAGTCTTCTCATGTTGGCCATCTTTACTAAGGGCAGATTAATCTATCTCCCTTTACTTCCTGGAACTCTGGCACATGTGACTGCACATGATCACTCCTCACAGCAACCACAGAGCCGGCTGCGTCATTCACACATAGCTGTTATTATTTGTTCGCCGTCATGGAGACATGTTCATTCATTATAACACTACTTGGGGAGAGGTGGTGAACCCTGACAGTGGATGCCAGCAAGACATAGCCTAGCGCAGGTCTGTGGACAGGCTGTAAAAGAAGATCAATGCCTACCTGTCTGTATCTGTGAAAAATAAGTCAAGGCAACTGGACTTGCTGTATTTTTCTTGAAGATGTTTCACTGGTCATCCGACCAGCTTTCTCAATTCAGAATGGAGAAATCTGGTCGGATGACCAGTGAAACGTCTTCAAGAAAAATACAGCAAGCCCAGTTGCCTTTGACTTATTTTTCACAGATATACCATGACCTGGATAAATGAGAACCTTCACAGACATACCTATTTGATGGGTGGTAAGTAAAAATTATTTTTGTTTAATATATTTTTATTGTTATTATTATTTCATGTCAACACAGTTATACCAATTTCATAAAACGCGTAAACATCTGTTTGTTATTTCATGACATAAATAAAACACATTCTAATTAACAAACGTCTAAAACATTACTTTCAATAGCGAACATTACCCTTC